TGGATCATTTGTTGTTCCCTTGTCCCTGGGTTTGTTAACACCACTTCCCTTCCCCCACCTCCCCCTCTCCCATGTCCCCCGGAACCATTGGTCCCGTTGTTTTCTCCTCCAGATTGTTTATCTTGCCTATTTTATCTAGATAGGCCTGCAGAGATAATAATATGTGCAAAAAAACAAGACAGAGCAAACCAAAGCAACAAAAGAAAGCAAAACAATAACAGAACAATGACCAAAAAAAGGAAAAGCCTGTAAATTGTTCAAGGACCGTTTGTTGATCTTTAGGAGTGTTTTCTGGTTGAGTCTGATGGGTTGCCACGCCCTGGCCCCAAAGTCTATTTTTGGTACTACCTGGGGACTTCCTTGCTCTGCTCCCCTTGGAGTCAGATCGGGTGCAACTCCCGCACTGTGTCTCCAGTGTTGTCCCCCAAAGCGCTATGGGTCAATGAGGGATATCATGTCTCATAGTGGGGGTGGCTATAAGGTCCTCTCTGTGCATTCGCTGCTCTGAGCAGGGATATCGTCCTCAAGGCTTGGTGGGCCAGGATGTGCTCCACTCTCTCTTTCTCCCCCCACTTCATTTACCTAAAGGAGCTTTCTAAAGCTTGCCCTGGCGGCAGAGGCCAAGTGGTACATGGATGAGGACCATAGAGAGAGAGAGTCAAGCTTTCAAGCAAGATTGAGAAGAGACATTTCAGATAGAACTTTTTCCTTAATGGTTCTGACCCTGATTTTGTAACCAGTTAGCCTCGTGAATAAATCCATAATTGTTTTGTCTTGTGAGTTGCAATGGATTGTGGTGTCCAGCCACAGAAGTGGAATGTTGTGAGAGGTACCATTGGTGTTAAGAGTAGGGCAAGTGAAGTTGGAGGGTGGAGGCATGTCTGACCTCTGCCTTGTGGGAATAAGCCTTAGGCTGGTATGGAGTTTAATTCTCCTTCCTACTGTGTAGCCAGCAGTGATCAGACATGGTGCCCATCCTATTTCCTCAAGTGCGGAATAGAAATAACAAACATATGTAGTTAAGTGTTGTTTAAACTATTATAAAGGCATGCACTAAGTGCCATGGGAGCCCAGAGGAGCAGAAAAGAGGTGATTATCATTGCCTGGGATGGGAGCCAGAGGGTGGGTGAGGTGTTCCAGGGAGGTGCTTTCTGAGTTGTGTGGAAGGAGGGACTGTATGTAGCTCCACACTGGCCTTCTGGGCAGAGGGTAGGGAGTGATGGGTTAAGGGAACGAGCTAGAGGAGATGAGGTGGCTGTGTCATTTGGAGATGAAAGATTGTGAAGAGCCATGTTTGAAATGTATGTTATAAATCAAAGTTACACCCTGCCTGCATGAGAGTTATTGGCTTTTCATGCAAAATAGATGTCTTTCAACATGTAATTCATTGAAACTTTAGGAGAAGAGTTTTGAAAGCACCTAAACCAGTTGCCATTGAGTTGATGCTGACTCATGACGACGCCACATGTGTCAGTAGAATTGCTCTCCAAAGAGTTTGCACTGGATAGTTTCAATGGATGATCAAGAGAAGTGCTCATTGGGCCTTTGTTCCAGGGTGTCTCTGTGTGGGCACGATCCTCCATCTTTTGGTAAACAGGCAAACATTAAACGTGTGCCCCACCCCCAGGCTTGAAAGATAATGACACCTGTAGTCCTAACCTCTGGAAGTAGTTATTGGTTCTGGAGGGGGAGAGATTGGGTCAGCTCTTGAACTTGGACGATCACAAAGACAGCACACTTTCTTGGGGGAAGGATGAGCTGTGTGGAGTCTCATTAAGGATCAGTGGCTAAAGTTGAATTAGGAGTGTCGGGGATGAGACAAACCCAAGAAATATGTGACCTGGCCCATCAGTAGGATTTGGTGACTGGTTGAATGTGTGAAAAACAAGGAATATAATGTCCAAGGATTGTTCTAAGTCTAGAATGACCCCTGCTTGGGCCAATGGCTAGAAAGAAGCTAGAATGCAGGAAGGAAAACATGTTTTGAGAAGTCAATAGGCTCCATTTGTGCGTTCAGACATACCTCATTTTAGGATCCTGGGATGTGGAAGTCAGTTGTCAAATTTTAATTTACCTTTTTTAAACCCCCAGGGTTTTCCACCAAAGAAGCCTCACTAAACTAAGTCAACCTGAGTAAAGCCGGGCTGTTTGGTTGGAGCTGGTATCCGCAGAGGGGCTCCGTGCCCGCCTCTGCCTTCTCCAGGCCGGCCAACTCCGTGTTCTCCGAGACAGCACGGCCTTCTCCGGAATTCTGAGTAAGGAGCACTCCTTGGAAGCAGGAGTCTTTGGTCTTCCGAGTCTGAGCTCAGAAGGAGAGCTGCCAGCTCCTTTAGGTCACTGAGTAAGTCTTTTTATTTGTCTCTTTCCTTGGTATCAAGATGCCAACCTCTGTTTTTCCTTTACTATCATT